TGAGGATTTCTTCTCGTTTCATCTTTTTGATGAAAGCCCGACAGAAATCGATGGCGTGGATATCCTGCAGGGATTTCAGAAGATCGGGGGTATGAGCAAGGAAGAATCGTCAAGATCGAAGTCATACCCACCGAGGCCTTCGTGCAGTCATCGGAGCAACACACCTCTGTTCTAAAGCCAGGAGGTTGGGGGCTTGGACGATGAAGGTGAAATTGAAGCCATAAAACAATAATGCGCAGCGAGCGCCTCGGGAGATTTGCATTTTCTTTCTTGATGGTGTACTAAATTGGCAAGTTGTCCGATCCAGCTGGTAGACAACGGGTTTTTCTGAGGGATAGGGGGGGCGCATTTAATCTGTGTGTTTCATTTTTGAGCAGATGAGGTTGCTGGAGTTTAAAGGGTGGTTGGTAGTCGGTTATGACATATACCGGACCTGGAATGACCTTGTTACGACCTTTATGACGACATTTGGTAAGATGTACATGAGTATGTGATGTCTAAACGAACTCGAATTTCTGCTTTTTTGCTTGCGTGTCGTTTCAGTTTTCTTTGCTTATGTCCCGGAATGTTTGAGGTGATTTACCAAGCACATATTCAAGTTGGCTTCCACTACAAGAGCGCACAGTTTGCATTGTTTCTGTATTTTTTGAAGTGTAAAAGAGCGTAGAAGTGTATTACTTTCTAGTTTCAGAAAAGGTAATAAGGAGTTCAGGTATGTTCTTAATAATGAACAGAGCCTAGTGAGTTGGTGCCGAATGATGCGCGAAGCAAGCAGAAACCGAAAAAAATGTTCGAAAGGCAGCGTACGAGGAAACAGTACATGGAAGGAAAAGATGTCTGAGGTCTCAATTCCTAACCTAACGCCGTACCAAAGAAAGGTCTAACCTGCGTGACCTGTGCCTCTCAACTGATTTAACGAAACCCGGATACGCTAAAATACAGAAAAAGAAATTTTGTTTTCGAGATGAGGCTAGTCGCTGCTAGCACAACCGCGACACCCACAACTAACACATTGAATTGTTTGATCTTCTTTGAGCTGCGCCTTAGGTACCCGACAGATGCAAGTTGCATTGAAATTCGTTTCCTTCGTCTGGATGCACCGGAGGCAGCATAACTGTAATAAAGACATGGCACGTGTTAGTTATTTCATCTTGTTCCAGGTCTTGGTAGGGCAATCTCGTGGTAGTATCCCTTGAAGGATGACAGCAAGGAGGAGATATAAGGAAGAGCAGAAGTAGAAAACGGGTAGATAGTAACCTTTTCATAGCCTTGCTTCTTCCATTTCGCAATCAAGTTGGCGTCCGCATAGTTGTTCTTCAAAAGCCATTCGTACAGCTGTTTTGATATGGCTTCTTTTTCGTAATACAAGTCATATACGTATCTCGACCCTATGTGTCATACTATGAGTAACTTTGAGCCTTCGACAACTGGAATATGAATTCGACGGAAGACCACTTACTCTGGTGGCTGATTTGGAATATGGGCCACAGCATCTCGTGCTTTTTCTTCCCGTCATGCGATGCATTCTCCGCATCTTTCATCTTATTGCTGAACTCCAGGAGTGTATCCTCTATATCATCGAAGCCTGCCGGGGGCGGTTTGCGATTTCGCGAGGTCCGTACTGGGGGCATTTCTGGATATGTAGCCAACGAGACAAAAATGAAGGCGGTTTTGCGTGATTTCTCGAAAGAGGGACAGAAGTGAGTATTGCGAAACCAAACACCGCAACCCTGTTGATTTTGCGTAGCCCAAAGAATGATTTGCTCCACAATAGATAGATGCGTTCGAGCGGCGGGCGCTACGAGCTTGCGGCCGCATCTGCCATGGCACACCGCCTTTAATTCTTCTAGGCGTTTGATTCCGATGGTTGAGCATCGTCAGAGACCAACCAGCAAACCATCCCATCTCCTACTCCAGACCTGTACTTAGCATACTCGCGATCCGTTCCTAAAACAACATTTATCATTAAATTCTACCTTTCCGGTCCCTTTCACAGAAATCCATCTTCACCATGGACGCACAGACCCAGGTCGATATTAGCAAGCTGAATGATGCCGACAAGAACGAACTGAGCCAGATGTTGGCGAACGAGCAACAAAAGGCCACGATGCAGCAAAGTGAGTTATTTATGTCCGAGTCGCTATTATCTAAGCCGTTTCGTCCCTGTCTTGCGACTTTCCAGGGCAACATTTTGCTAATGGTCATCATTTAGCCGTCCATTCGTTGTCCGATATTTGCTGGAAGAAATGTATCGCGGGAAAGATCTCGTCAGGTCGCCTGGAACAAAATGAGGAAACATGCGCGCAGAACTGCGTTGAGCGGTGGATGGATTCGAACCTTGCGATCCTGAAGCATCTCGAAGCTCTTCGTGGATAAGCTGTGTAATCTTTGTCTTCTACTTCTTCAACGAAAAGCAGCGGGCTCTTGCATAGAGCACGTCTGCCGTCACCCTATATGTAAACGGGTACCTCATGTATTATATCAATCATACCAATAGAAAGGACGTGCTGGCTTTGCCACATGGAAAAGCACCGTGACCATGCCGGAAGTTCACTTTTCAGCTCTGGCGGCCTGCGCATGTGAGGCTGTGACATGCATAGATTTGTACCCTCTACTTGAACACTAGGCCTAGGATAGGCAAGTAGCCTTGAGTCCGCGGCAATGGCGTTAAGATCTACGGAGCCTAGAACCAGATTTATTCGTGGTATTCATGCATTCGAGTGATTCCCTCTTCTTTTTTGGAAACGATCATTCAGCCCTCATTCAAGCATTGGTAGCTAATTTTATGACTGATATTTATGAACCACCGCGCAAAATAAAAATTCACCCAAACCCTAAATGAAATATATCTAGACGATGGCAAGCTTGGTGGCAGCGATGTCCAGAGCATCAACGTCAGGGGTTAGACGGGCGTAGGCCTTCTTCAGTCCATCGGGTCTAAAGACAAGTTAGATATCCCGAATTCGGTAGTAAGTCAATGATTATGAGATAGGTCGTCGTACCTGACGAGGGTGTTGACCTTGACGGTGTCAACGTCGTACAGCTTCTTGAGGGCGAGCTTGATCTGGCGCTTGTTGGACTTGACATCGACGATGAAGACCAGGGTGTTGTTCTCCTCGATCTTCTTCATGGCGCTCTCGGTGTTGAGAGGGTAGAGGACGACCTTGTGCGCATCGAGGCGAGGGACATGGGGGATCGACTTGCGGGGGTACTTGGGCGACCGGGAAAGCTGAAGGGTCTTGGGGCGGTGGAAGGTCGTAGAGGTGCGGACCTTACGAGACTTGTGCGCCTGGAGAATCAAATGATATTTAGCACCGAACAGAGCATGGGTGGATTTGAAGCCTTGTGAGAACGTACACCAGCACCCTTAATGACTGCCTTGGCGGCAGCACCAGCCTTGTCGCTGGGCTTGGTCTTGCCTATAGATCCAGAATGTCAGCCCATCCGTCACTTCAAAATAAAATATAGCCGATCGCTCGTTCGAAATCACAAAATCCATGCAGGTTGACAATAGCGGGGGGAACACAGGGCTCGAATCGTTCATCGGAAATGCCTTTTTTTTGATCGTGCTGAGAGGGCCTTATCCCCCGGAGTACCGCCACATGTAGATGCCATTCGAGGCTCACAAAACCGGGATTTCGACAAGAACAAATCTGCAAATTTCAAGACGACGGATGAATCGCATAAATGATGCCTACCTTGCTTGTTATCCACCTTGGGAGCCATGGCTATCGTCCGGCGCTGTCGTGTTGATTGTCGCAGTGTCGAGTGTCGAATTATTTGGAAGGTATTCGCTTAATGAAAACCCTACGGTTGACTCTGTGGGTCACCTGACCAGCCCTCCGTGTCGGATGGTTTGGATCTCTTGGCGACCACAACTCGAACGGGCTAGTCTGTCGAGTTTGTCTTCTTTCAGCATAGTGTATCCGTTACGGTCACGTGAAGAATAAGCGGTTTCTCACATGTTCGAAGCCATCAATAATGATTTCGACAATAGTTGAACGAGCCCAATTCATGGCTGTTGCCTGCGCAGACACTACGACTCAAACGCCAGGGGACTGCCAGGGCAGCAGTACTACTAGGCCGAGAAGACATGGGGCCTTCTAACAAACAATGGAGAAAAAGACCTGCTCTTCTGTCCCGCACCCGCCCACCAACTGTCCGGGCAAAGCATGCGGCCTTGTCGGCGAAAGCTACTCGAAATCTCATTCGATCACACCATCGACTACTCAAGGCGCATTCCCAAGCTGTACGGGCCGGTGATGATGTTTTGGTCGGAAAGATCGAAGCGCAGATCCGGGAAAATGGTGGCTTGGAAAGCTACCAGCTCGCAAGCAAACTTGGCCAGTCTCTAGATCGTGGAGGCGACTCTAGCAAGGTCTTGGTTGATTGGATAGCTCCTCGGTTACTGCCAATGGCAAATACGCCCTACAAGCTCCGAGTACTCGAGATTGGAGCTCTAAGTACGAAGAACGCTTGTTCAATGAACAAGTCACTGGATGTCACTAGGATAGATCTGAATTCTCAAGAACCGGGAATCTTGAAACAGGACTTCATGAAAAGGCCGCTTCCCCAAAACGATTTCGACAGGTTCCATATCATCAGTCTTTCCTTGGTCCTCAATTATGTTCCCGACGCCGCCGGTCGGGGTGAAATGTTGAAGCGCTGTATATCCTTCTTGACCACATCACCCCCCTCCGGGTCTTCTCTTGATGTTACCCCAAGCCTATTCCTGGTCCTGCCAGTCTCCTGCGTTACCAATTCGCGCTACCTCACCGAAAGCAGGCTGCAAGACATAATGTCCAGTATGGGTTTTGCGTTGGCTAAGACCAAGCAGACTTCCAAGCTGATATTCCAACTTTGGGATCAGGTTGACGACTACAACGCCAAACCTTTCAAAAAAGAAATCTTGAACCCTGGAAAAACAAGGAACAATTTTTCAATTATCGTCAAGTGATAGTGTCGTATGGGACAACAAGAAAGCGTCGTTATCCGCACTCTTACAGTGCAGGGATGGCATCCTGTGGCAGAATGGACCATGCAGTCCCAATCAACGCCAATATCGAGGAAGTTATTAAAAGGCACCAGTCCAGTACCCGTTCTCTTGGACTTATTTCGTTGCCAAATATTTTCAGGTGGAAGGCAACCGGCAATATGATGCAGATCGTGAAACATAAAGCTGACCCCATCAGCGCCATGATTCGATCAAACGAAGGGAATAACACTGCCATGATAACAATGCTGACCACGACAAGGATGCGTATTAAGGCTTTTGAAAGCTTTGAACCATGGCTTTCGTGCTCTTGGGATCTGTCTGAAGTTCAGGGTGTGACCCAAGTCCACAGAGGACTTCGACTGTGGCCACGAGCGGCCGGCAGCTACATTTATCAATCAACAATCCACATTTTTCTCGAAAACAAACAGGACAAGAGGACAAAATGCGAAATATGACTTACTTCAATGGTACTTTTGTGATTGGAATGATGGCGATGAACATGATCATGCAAATAGACAATACCTGCGAATATTCTTCTGTGCGTAGGATGTTGGCAGTGACTTCATCTCGAACATCGTCTCCAAACATGATCCAGCCCACTATGGCCATCGTGCAGTCAAGAGAATACTAGGACGAATATTTCGATTAGCACCCGAGAACATTATCCCCTGTTCGTTGAGTAATATGCACCGTTTTTTCTCTGCATATACTCTTCAAGATGCTGCCGAAACCCGCTTACCGTAAAAATATAAGTGACCCACAGACTCTTGCCGTACTTCTGTGGATGCCGCATATCGCGGTATATATTTGGAAATACGCCGTGGCCACCCCATGGTGCTTATCTGAACATCAGCGCGTTTTCCTAAGCAACCCCTAGCGAGTGATTGGTCTTACACATTATCAGCCCAAAGCTAAGAGGAAGAGTGGCCCAATTGTCAGGCAATAAATACGTCCTGGCTGGTTGAAGGAGAGATCCCGGGGCGGTTGGTTTCGTAAGCCCATCAATACAAGTGATAATGACAACTTCGACAATGTTAGTTTCTCGGTAATACACTGAGTTCTGAAAGAAGGTACACATACTAGAGGTACAAGAAAGTATGCCGAGTATACTTGTCACGCTAAGAAGTCGCAATGGTAAAAAGTTGAGGGGAACAAGCAAAAGTCCGCATACTATTTTCCACTGAAGAAGGCTCAAGCCCGGGATGAGAGCTTGCAAACTGTCCGCAAAAAGCACAACCAGTGCAACACAAGCCCCAACTAGTTCCAAGCAGAACAAGAGACTTGTCGCTAAGCGTGCGTGGTGACCGAAGCTAATGTATGCTAGATCTGCGTAAGTGACAATACTCCGATCAGCATCAAGACACTTTGCAAGGATCTTTGCCGTGTAATTTGTGGCCACTGCAGCGAATAGCAGAAATAGCAGGCCAAGAAGCCAGCCAGCATGCTTCAGAGCTAGTGGCAAGCTCAACAAACCAACACCGATTAAAACGTTGACGGAATTGAAGATTGTCTGTGGAACCGTAGATTGGCCGACAACGATACACTCTCTTGTACCGTCTTCATGATGCACCTGCTTTACAAGGACCGGTTCCCTTTCGTAGCCCACAGATGTATCACCATGACTTTGTTGCTCTCTGTGCAATTGGATCGCATGCTTCCGTGCCGTCGCACTAACGCGGGAAGAAATCGTTCCGTACGAACCCCCCAGCGATGGTTCAAAAATGTCTGCAATCGATGTTTTTTTTCTCAGATCCAGCTGGCCGGCCATGGCATTGTCTTCACTTTCTCCATCGGCACCCAACAAGGGACGTGTAACGTCGGCCCCATGCCCCGAGTAATCATGTGGCCTGAAGATGTCGTTTGTATTCCCAGCCCATTCTTCGTCGGAGTCTATCACAAATGACGATCGTCGAGGTAAGACTTCTGGAAAATATGCAGCTCGCTGCCACGACCGAGCAAAGTTGTCAATGCTATTGACTCCTCCTGCCTGTCTGAACCGCGCGGAGAAGGACGCTGATCTGTGTAGCACAAGACATAGTTAAACCGAGGCTGGCATTTTATGTGATTTCAGGATGAGTAGGCGACTTACCTTGGCCTCGGGTAGCTATCTTCTACTCTTGAATAGCTGCCACTGCTGGTTGCAAGCCCATAAGGATACACATCAGACTCAATTGCAGATTCAGCGCTCGGCCTACCAGGCGCAATCGACCTATGTGAGCTAGAAGCCTGGGCACCAGCAGCCGCAGGAATTGTGGATTCAGGCATTGTGTATGATTCCTTCAAAAGTCCCTTGCCAGGGGACAGAAGCTTCCGGTCTAGAACCAAGCTACTTGCTGCTAGGTCGACTTTCGCGAAAGGGAAACAAACAAGAAAAAGAAAGAAATGAATAAATAAATAAAAATCAAAAAGATGTCAAGGAAAGAGCGATCGAGGAAAGGAAACCTTGGAAAGACCGAGTTTATTTATTGAAGACAGTTAGTACAATCAAGGCTGGTGAGGAGACAAATCAGCTATCGGCGAAGTAATATAAGGGCGTCACTTTTGGTGGCGGATACTAAACCCAGAGTGTGAGTGGAATAGTCGTCACTATCAGCGATTTCTTATAGGCGCAGCCACAGGATCGGCTTGCACGATGTCCAGGACAAAGATAAGCGTGTAGTAGTGTAGCACTCCGTAGTCTACCTAACGGATACAAACAGGTTATCTCCGAGAAAGGCAAGGGTAGAAATCTTGATTGGTAAGTCCAATGAGAAATTATTCCATGATAGAAAAGGACCCCCGGGAGCTTCTGCGAATTTCGGGAGCGAATGTGGGGTTCTTCTTGGAACTAATACTGCACAGGTACATGGAGTTCCAACCAGCTTTTGTAGCTAGTTCTCCGTGTTATTGATAAGCCATCAATAGCATTTTGGTTCACCACATTGATTTATGTACTCCAGACGGGGGTGGTTCAGTCTGCGATAACATGGACGGTTTCTTTCTTGCATGTTCTCGGGATAGTGTTAAGACTCTTGCTTCGAAGTCCCCGAAAACTTACGATTGAAAGACCGTTGAAGCGGATGGTTACATGTTGAACTGATCGCAGAGTAATGACCACTGATGTTGAGAGAGATGGCCAACTCCAAAGACCCAGACTCATGCTAGGTTGTGCCATATATGAAGTATGATAGTAAGTGATCTAGTTAGTCGATAGGTAAGGTAGGCCGAATGCCAGCGAAGAAGGTTATGTGGGAAGTACTCCGTAGTACCGTTCGTATTGATTAGTATGAATTGAGCCATGACATCAGGCAATCCTCCATTATGTCTCGACTAGGTAGCACGCCCCAGCCAAAGTTCTAAGCACTCAAGGACTTGATAAGAAACGCTCTTCATAATATAGGCCCCAAGCGGTGCAGTTTGACAATTAAAGTGGACTCGCAAGCGCGCTGGATCGTATACTGGATAACGGAAGTATGGTATTTCCAGGAACCGCACTTCTGTCCATCTCATTGATCTTTGAAGCCTTGAGGTCGCAATGTTGAGGGAGATCGATAAGCCTAACAATGATGCAAATGCAGAGGCCTCAAATGCGATTCTCTCTCGCCTTTATATACTCCCTATTAACATGGATCACAATGCTTCTAAACAAGCGTTGTGGTATTAATGAATCCCCCTTGTGCGAGTTCCAGCTTATGTCATCGTAAACAGGCGACCGCCGGCCCATTCGTTGGTTCCTTGTGTCGTCGGCCGCCCCCCCACGGTGCCTGATGAAAATTGCTTAAACACCCCGCTGGACTTGGACGGCAAAACGACCAGCCGTGAGGTATGTGACTTGATCGTCTCTTTCCCGTTCACCTTTGTCTTTGGGGTTGCCTACTCTCATAGATCCCTTGTTACCCCAGTTCGCTTTCTCTTTGCACCTTTAAAAAAGACGTCTTGCCGCTAACAGTCAGTATTCTAGCACCAGCAAGCCACACACTTAACGTCTTCTGGTCGTATTATATTGTTGCCTCGCCCAACATGAGCGCGGCTCAGCCGAACGAAGCGGAGAAGAACATCGAGATATGGAAGGTGAAGAAACTCATCAAGCGGCTTGAGGCCGCTAGAGGAAACGGAACCTCCATGATCTCTCTTATCATTCGTACGTCTTCCGTCCAGTCGACTCGTCGCTAGAATACCTTCTAATTATCGGATCTTCTTTGCAGCCCCCAAGGACCAGATTTCTAGAGCAGCAAAGATGTTGGCGGAAGAGTTTGTAAGTGGTTTGACTGAGAGAGTGACAGCCAGTCTGCTAATCGCATAATACAGGGCACTGCGTCTAATATCAAGTCTCGTGTCAACCGTCTTTCCGTCCTTTCCGCTATCACTTCGACACAGCAACGTCTCAAGCTCTACAACAAGGTGCCTCCGAACGGTCTAGTAGTTTACTGCGGTGAAATTATCACCTCTGAAGGAAAGGAGCGCAAGATCAATATCGATTTCGAGCCTTTCAAGCCAATCAACACCTCGTTGTATCTCTGTGACAACAAGTTTCACACTGAGGCTCTCAGTGAACTTCTCGAATCTGATCAGAAGTTTGGTTTCATCGTCATGGATGGAAACGGTGCTCTGTTCGGTACCCTGAGCGGCAACACCAGAGAAATTCTGCAGAAGTTGAGCGTTGATCTGCCCAAAAAGCACGGCCGTGGTGGTCAATCAGCATTGCGTTTCGCTCGTCTTCGTGAGGAGAAGCGCCACAACTACGTACGCAAGATTGCTGAGTTGGCTGTTCAGAACTACATCACCAACGACAAGGTCAATGTTGCAGGATTGATCTTGGCCGGTTCTGCCGATTTCAAGAACGACCTGAACCAGTCCGATATGTTCGACCAGAGATTGCAGGCTAAGGTTATCAAGGTTGTTGACGTGTCTTATGGTGGCGAGAACGGTTTTAACCAGGCTATTGAACTGGCATCTGAGACCTTGAGCAACGTCAAATTCGTTCAGGAGAAGAAGCTTATCGGAAAGTACTTCGAAGAAATCAGTCAGGATACTGGAAAGGTCTGTTATGGCATTGACGATACATTGAAGGCTTTGGAGCTTGGTGCGGCCGAGACACTGATCGTTTATGAGAACCTTGACGTCACTCGCTACGTTCTCAAGAGCTCCAGCGGTTCGGACGTCGTCATCCACACTACCAAGTCACAGGAAGAGAATCGGGAACTCTTCATGGACAAGGAGACAGGCACTGAGATGGAAGTTAGCGAGCAGCAGTCGTTCCTTGAGTGGCTTGCTGAAAACTACAAGGACTTTGGAGCAACCCTGGAGTTCGTTTCCGACAAGTCCAGTGAAGGAAACCAGTTTGTCAAGGGTTTCGGTGGTATCGGAGCCATCCTTCGGTACAAGGTCAACTTCGAACAGCTTGCTGACTACGATGACGAGGATGAATTCTACGACGGTACGTTTATCTCCATAACCATACTATTCGTGTGCTAACCACTCTATAGATTGACGGTTCCGCGGCCTCGCAGAGAGCGAGGATGAACGGCCAGAAGTTTCCGGTTCGGACCTTCTGACGGCTCGCCCCCTGATTCGTGATGGCGGCTCTCCCGGCAACATGGCCGCAATGGTACACACCGTGCCGTTGCCCAGTCAATATCCTATGAAGCTGCCCAGAAGTATGTGCTTCATTATATGTGCAATCGTTGCTACTTGCTGACAACATAGCAGCAGGGCCATCCAAGCTCCGTAACATGTTCACTGAGGTTATGTAGACAGTCTAGGGTGGCACTAGGTTTTATACTTCAGTTCGAAAAGATGATAGATCTGTTTATGTCGAACCTATAACTCACCAAGGGCTGTCGATCGTATAACACTTGGGCTAGCGCGTTTAGAATGTTTGTTCCAGTGCCTGTCAACACTGGATCTCTTCGTTGTGTTTTCCTTTTGTTGCTTCTGAGTGCGCTTCTTACAAGGGAAGCAAGCCAACACTGGCTTCTCCTCTTCATGTTATCTACAGGTCCTGTAGATGCCTGTAAATCTGGTAGCGCATGACACACGAGGCCTACACGGCAATTGAATTGCTTCATAGAACCTTTTTTTTTTTTTTTTTTTTTTTTTTTTTTTTTCATTTGGGTATCGATTTGATATGTCTATATGAATTTTGCAGGCTACAAGCACTTGTGATCCTCTTGCACTTCCTCACCAGTACCGACACTTAGACTTATACGAGCTGATCCGCCCATGTTCCCAAATGCCTGCAACCCTCAGTGACATGTTGTAGCCCATCTATGATTTTGGATACCGCATCCGCATTTTCACTTGTTGGAACGTATTGGCCTTCGACCAGGAATACATACTTCCACGGCCTTATCTGACTCGGTCGCGAATTAATGCTGGTCAGATTCATCCCACGATCCTTGAAAATCAAGAGAGCATCTGCCAAGGCACCCGGGCAATCCTGGCGAATCATAAATGAGATCAAAGTCTTTTGCGCTGTTGGTGTAGTAGAATTTTGTGTCTGTGCTGGGGAACCGTTGGCATATTGGAAGACCAGCCGACCCGTACGTTCCGAAGTCACATTCCTGAGCACCAGGAACCGGGTGGTGTTATTGGCCTTGTCTTCGATATTTTCCTCTGATACATCTAGACCGTGATGCTCGGCAGCAAAGCGACTAGCTATTGCTCCACATCGCTCTGTCGTCTCCTTGGACACGATCTCAGCGCCCTTGGAGGTTGACGAGACATCTTGTCTTTCGACGCCTTTGAAAGTTTTTTCAAGGAAAGTATCACACTGACCCCATGCCTGCGGGTGGGTATATAATTTGGTGATGGAGCTGTAATCTCGCTGGCCAGGTGGGAAGAGACCCTTTCGAGTGAGAAGACAGTGGTGAACTGTCAGATAATGTTCCCCGCACACCTTCACATTACTGTAGAGGCCGCTCGGGTCCGCCAAGAGATCTAGAGTCTGAACAACCGAGCCATTGGTTGAGTTCTCGCAAGGGATGATAGCATAATCGACGTTGCCTCCTTGCAATGCTGCGAAAGCGTCCGGAAACGATACGTGGGGTAAAAGTTCAGCTGAAGACCCAAAGCTTTCAACTGCGGCCTAAAAGGTTGGTTAGTAATGGGACTATTGCGAAGTCCAACCTGATGAAATTCTGACCTGGTGGGAGAATGACGCGACAGGGCCGAGGAATGCGACCTTGAGAGGCTCCATGGCAGCGCTATGAGGACTTCGGAGATCCACTGGGTTTGAGTTGCTTGCCTCACGATTTTGTACTCCTGCCAAGAGCTTGTGACTTGTT